ACGTACCCATGTGTTCTCTCTCTCTCTCTCATTCATTCATTCATTCATTGTCTATCCTACGCCAGGTACTTCTTGGCACTGGGGTCCCAAAGGTTGTTGCCATTTCCCCAGCCACCTAGAGCTTCACTCTCTCATATGGTTGTCATGAGCCCTGTGCAGCCATGGGGCATGTGAAGTGTGGCTAGTCTGAACTGAGACATGATATAAGTATAGAATACACCCTGGATTCCAAATACCTAGTACAAAAAGAAAAGGAACGTAAAATAGCTCATTAATACTTCCCTATATATTGAGTATACATTGAAATAATAATACTTTGGAGTACATTATTAACATTAATTTCACCAGTTTCTTTTTACATCTCTTACTGTGATAATTAGAGAAATTTAGTCACAGCTGTAGCAGGTCGAGAGACCTGCCACCTAGCAGAGAAAGGCTGATGAGTACCGTTCAAGCCAGAGGGGGAGGGTAACATTACTGGCCCAAGGTGCTGAGAGAGCCCAAAAGACTTAGCCCGAACTGTGATGAGCAAGGCTGAGGGGCACAGAGCAGCTTCCTAGAAGAGTTCACATGCAAATCAAGAGTCCCAAGACAACTGTGGGCTAGCCCCAGGACCAGGACACTCACGGAAAAACCCCGTCTGTGCAGAGGCACGGAGCTGAGAGGCCCAGTGAAGTCCGGGTGTGTCTCCAGGGGCAGCAGTGAGAGGGGAAGGGAAAAGGGGGAGCAATGAAGCCAGAGAAGCAAGAGACGTCAGCTCCTGGAGACGAGTCTGGTGCTGTCCAGCAGAGTTTGAGTGTGGGCCACGTGCAGAGGTTTTAATTTTGTAGGAGCCACATTCAGAAAGGTAAAAAGTAGGAGAAATTAACTTTAGTAAAATGTTTTACTGAACCCATTTAAAATATCATTTCAACATGTAATCGATGTCAACCATTCTTAGTGAGATCTCTGTGTTCTTTTTTATTAAGTCTGCGACATTGGGTGTGCACGTCACACCCCGGCCCATCACACTCTGCACAGGGCCGCTGTGTCAGCACAGGTCTGCTGGACTTTTCTCTGGGGTGTGGTGGAAAAAGCTCTTAGGCAGAGGTGTGCCTTAGAAAGTTCTCTCTGTAGGTATAGGAGAGACAAATGGCTTTCTGGTAGCTGTCACCACCATCTGGGTGCTGTCACCTGCTGAGGCACTGCAGTTTATAAACTGGCAACACGGGAGCAAACTGTCCTTTCTCAGACTTTACCCTGTGATGGGGTTACCTGGAGGCCCTGTTGGAGTGCAGACCACAGAGTGCTGTCCTGGGTTTTGTCCAGAGTTCTGAAAAGGGGAAGCTGCTCGTTCAGTTCCCATCTGGTTCTCACCACCTTGCAGATGCCGACCTGGAACGGACTCCTTCTGTGAAACTGTAATGCCAATACTCTCCTCGAAGGCTTGGTGCACAGATAAAAAAAACCGAAGCAACATATGTTGAAATGCCTCACACTGTGCCTGATACAGAACTGATCAGAAATGGTAGTTTCCTTCTTTCTAAGTTATCATCGAAAGGACTCTCTCCTATCTCCAAGAGGATGTGAACTCAAACAGCATGACTGGGGATTGTTTGCTGGAAAGACTCCTAACCCTTTCTCCATCCCCCATGCAAGGAACTTCAAGGAAGTTCATTTCAGGAAGAAATGTCTAAAAAGGGGGGCTCTTTTCCTAGCATAACAATATGCATTAACTGGTAAGAAAATACCTTTTTCATTTCCCTGGGCTCTATCTTATTGGAAAATCAGCTTAAAAATTGTTCCTTATCTTCAAGGAGCTTCCAGGTGTTTAACGACTTGCTGGGGTAATAAACAACTGAATTCTGGGAAACCATTATGTGAAATGTTCCCCACTACTTTCCCCTGCCTGTGAGAATCAAATCCAGTGATATAGTTAAGGTGGAATTGGGAAAAAATATTGGCTTTGAAATCTGACAAACGTGAGTTTGAATCACAATTCTGTGGCTGACAGCCATAGAATCTTGGGGCAAATTGCTTATCCCTTTGAGTATCGAAGTGCTTTCTGCAAAATGGGTATGACATATCTTTGCAGGGTAAGAGTTACACATGCAAGGTGGGAATGTATAAGTTCCCTATTGTTGCATAACTAATCACCCCCAAACTTATCAGCTCAAAACAACATCTATGATCTCACAGTGTCTGTGGGTGAGCAATCTGGGCGTGGCTTAGCTGGGTCCTTAGGCTCAGGACCTCTCAGCCAGGGTTCAGGTTTCATTTCAAAGCCCAAGCTCTCTCATTGGCCACCAGCCCTGCCCTGTGGGCCTATGGAGACAGGGCAGCTCACAGAGGGCAGCTCAGGTCTTCAGAGCAAGAAGGCAAGAGGAGTCAGAGAAAGAGGGAGACTGCAAGACAGAAGTCTTTTGTAACCTAATCTCAGACAGGACATCCCATCACTTCTGCTGTGTTCTACTGGTTAGAAGCAAGTCACTAGGTGTAGCCTACAGTCACAGGGAGGGGATCACACATGGGTGTGAGTGTCGGGAAGTGAGGACATTTGGAAGCTGTCTGCCACAACATTTACAGATTTCCAGTAAACAGTAGCTGTCATAATGACCAAATATGAGAGAACTTTGCAAAGTAACGTTCACTACAGAAATAGACGAAATCTCCTGGATTATGTATTAGGGTCGAGAAATTTAAGAATCATGTGACACTATCAGTCTATCAAAGATCTTGATTCTGCCTGACGCTAGGTTATCCAGAGTCTACATTTACAGATGCATTTAATTTATATTAAATTCAGATTTGGTAACTTGTTACCAAGTAACGATGTTTGGATACCAGAAGTAAAAGGCATGTATCTCCCCTATGTAATGTTTTATAACATATCTAGTCATGTTAGAACGTCCATGTTTTTATGGGGATGCAAATAGAAATCTGCATCTTGTTCTTCTCCTTGAGCAGTATTATAAAGGACTGGATCCTTCAGTATGTTCTTTATAATTAGCACTTTAACAGCCATGTAGCATTTCCACTCAGAAGATAGATATAAGGGTCATGGTTTACTTAACCACTCCCTTGTCTGTGACATATCAGTTGCTTTAATGTTTTGCCATTAAAAGCAATGCTGTGACTGAGTATCTTCTGTGTGGTAAATCCCCCCTCATAATTTGAATAATGTCTTTAGGATAAAATCCCAGGAAAAGCAATTAGAATACACACATTTTAATGGGTCTGTCAAGTTTTTATCCAAATGAGAAAATGGCTTTGGTTTTTATATAAGCAAACATTGCTTCATCAGCTCCAGACTGAGCTCCTCAAAGGCAGATACCCCAGGTTAGTTTTTACATTTTTTTTAAAAACATGGCATTTTGCCTCAACATTTAATGAGTGTTGTGGGCTGAATGAACAAAATATTTGAAAATCTGAGACTTTAGGAAAAATATTTAGGCTAAATGTATTGAAACACTTTTTAAAAAAAATCAGGAGATGTTGCATTTCCATTTAGAAATCACTAAGATATGTGAGGGAGGTATCTGTGCTGAGCACTGGGTTCTCCTTGCCCTTTTCTTATCTCACTGAATCCTCGCAGCACCCCCTACAGTTCATTTTTCACACAGCAACAGAATGAAATGCTCCAAGCACAATCAGATTAGGTCTAAACTTCACTTTAATAAAGGGCCCCAGGAGACATCTGCTGGCCCTCAATGTTTGAAAAGAAACAACGTGTCCTCTTTTCTAGGAGAATACTAGTTCTCTGGAGAAGTCTATTTGGTTGGACACAAAATTTTCACCCAATACCAAGAATCATGGGAATTTTCTTGAATGTAGTTAACCCTAGGGAATGAGTCATTTTAGCCAAACTATAAGTCAGAGTGGTAAAATACTTAGCTAAGCATGGCACAAATTACCCTGAGAAACTATTTTTATTGGTCAGAATTCACTCCGGCTGATGTGTCCTGCCTCTGCAGCACGCAAATCTTGGAATTCCACTGTACACCCCCCCAACCCTTTTTAAAAAGAAATTTTAAAGAGTCCCAAAGAAGGCAGACCCAAGAAGGAACACACCAAGGCACATCATCATTACATTAGCCAAGATTAAAATGAAGGAGAGAATCCTAGAAGCAGCAAGAGATAAGGGGACAGTCACCTACAAAGGAGTTCCCATCAGACTGTCAGCGGATTTCTCCAAAGAGACCTTACAGGCAAGAAGGGGCTGGAAAGAGGTATTCCAAGTCATGAAATCCAAAGACCTACATCCAAGATTGCTCTACCCAGCAAAGCTTTCATTTAGAATGGAAGGGCAGATATAGTGCTTCTCAGATAAGGTCAAGTTCAAGGAATTCATCATCACCAAGCCCTTACTATATGCAATGTTAAAGAGACTTAATCTAAGAAAAAGATAAAAAATATGGACAGTGAAAGGACAGCAAACTCACAGTTATTAACAACCAAAACAAAAGCAAACTAAGCAGACATCTAAAACAGGAGTGGAGCCACAGAAATGGAGATCACATGGAAGGTTAGCAACAGGGGAGTGGGAGGAGGAGAAGGGGGGAAAAGGTACAGAGAGTAAGTAGCATAGACGGTGGGAAGAAAATAGGGGGTGGGCAAGAGTAGTGTGGGAAACGCAGAAGCTAAAGAACTTATGACACATGGACATGAACTAAAGGCAGGGAATGTGGGTGGGGGGGTGTGCAGGGTGGAGGGGAATGAAGGGGGGAAATGGGACAACTATAATGGCATAATCAATAAAATATATTTTTTAAAAAGAAATTTTAATTAGCTCGTTTCAGGAGTTTTCATCCTCATGTTCCAGACCCAAGAGACCAAGTTGTACTGATCAGTGTGTGAGCACTACAGCTTATTTGAACCCTTCATTCAAAATGATCTCAGGTTTTGCCACTACACTGGAACCACAGTGCCCTCTGGTGGGCAGCTGGTGGCTGGGTCTTCCCAGGCCCTCTACACTGGTGGGAAGTCTCACCTACTTGTGCTTCCCTGTATCTGTCACTCAGGTGAAGGAGGCCATGCAGCGGATCCATGACCGAGGCAACATCGGCAAGTTAATTCTGGATGTAGAGAAGACCCCAACGCCACTGGTGAGCCAAAAGCAGAGGGATCTGTCCCGTCCAGCACGAGAGCCTCTGATCGGGTGCAGGCACAGGTGGGGCAGAGGGAAGTGCAGGCAGCTCCCGGGCTGGCACAGGCGACCGAAGGGAATCGAACAACTGCACGAGTGCGGGATGTCACAGCCTGAGGCGCATGCTGGGGAGGAAAGGGAAATTCCTCCCCGAGAATGTTTCGAGAGCAACGTGGGGGCAGTCAGGAGAGGACAGAAACAGCAGACTGTGTCCACGACCAGTGCTATCTACTGGCTGCCGCGAAGAGGAGGGATTCCTGGTAAAAATCTAACAAATTCACATTCACATACTGAACAGACTGGTGCCAACTGCCTCTGAGGTGCCTCCCGATGATTCCATTGATTTCGCTTTATCGGAATAAAACCCCTAGATCCAGGGATCTCACCAGGAGGGAAGCGCATCCAACTCACGTCCCAGATGCTCTCACGGTGATCACTTGAGGGGGCTGTGCAGGGGTCAGAGGCTGCCAATCGACCACCTGACTCGAAGGCCAGCTCTGAGCTCCTGTGTGTGACCTGGGCAATTACCTGGCCCTCCGGCTTCCGTCCCCCTGTCTGTAAATTGGAGATTGATAAATTCTCAGAACTATATGCATAAAACGTTGTCTCATACACACTAAATTCCAGGAATGATTTACAAAGGAAATACTTAGGAAGGTTTGTTTGTTCTCACATGTTTAAACCTGGAGCTGCATTAGTCATTTATAAAAGAGAAAGAACAAAAATGTCTGGCATGGTTTAGTCCCAAGTGCGCATCTTCAAAAGTGCTTATTGGGCTTCTTTAACCGTAATGTAGTTTAAGTACGAAGGCCATCTCCCTCGACGAAGGGCGGTTACATGAGAGGGCATTTTACAGTGTATACCTGACTGATGGCAGTAAGGACATGGTTGAATGAATGCTGTGGCCACCAATGTTCTGAGGCAGATGGGGGACCAGGCTGAGGAGGAGAAGGCGGCTGGGACCCTGGGTCTTCTGCGCACCTGTGCTGTGTTCTTTAAACAAATGACCAAGCCTGTTTCAGCCCCAGCAGTGAAAGGCAGGCAGGTCCAGAGACGCTCCGGACTGCTTGTTGCTTTCAAGCCCAATGGCTGACACTGGCATCCCGCCTGTCTCCCTTACACGTGAGGTCCTGCTGGGCGCGGGGCAGGGAGGAAGGCCTGGCTGACCCTGGAGGGCATGGGCGGTTCTTATCGGAGCAGGAGATGAGAAGCATACCTTGCAAGGTGGGAACCGAAACCCTGCCTTGGCATCTCTCATGGGCTTGTTCCTGAATCTCAGGAGGGCTTCCCCCTGGGACTTGGGGAAGCAAAGAAGTGATGGGAAGTGGGCCGGCTGGACCTGTCTTTGGAGCATTGCTGGGGTGGGTGGAGACCGCAGCCCATCAGGATGGAAGACCAGGCTTGCAGGACTCCTCTCCCGAATTCCAAATCCTTGCCCTGAAATCCTTAGCTCAGAGACTGCTTCTTGCAATGCCCAACATAAGACAGCTAATATGGCACTGCCCTCCGGGGCGAGCAGGCAAGTGTAGCTCCTGGCCCTTAAAGGAGTCCTGTCAAGTGGCTCCATCGGTTGCTTGAGCAAGGTGGGGGTCAGGCTGCAGAGACATCTCACAGGTCCTCTGTTGCATTACAGATGGCCAACGACAGCACGGAGACCAGTGAGGCGGGAGAAGAGGAGGAGGACCACGAGGGCGACAGCGAGAACAAGGAGCGGATGCCCTTTATCCAGTAACCCAGGCCCCGGCCAGAAGAACGAAGGGCAGTTTGGAAGGAGAGGGGCCAGCTGAGGAAGCTCTCCTGCACCCCAGTGAACAAACCCTGTAGTCCAGTGCGTGTTGTGTTTGTCTGCAGTCGGCTGAGCTAAAAAGCTTTTGATCACTGTTGTTTTTGAAATTAAGTGCCAACCCTGTTCCATGCAGTATTACGTCCCTCCCTTCTGTGTATCACCCTCTCCCCCTCCCCTGTTCCAAGACCATCCATCTTTGGGTCCTTCTCGACAGTTCTAGAATAGCCTTGCCAATTAACACAAGCCCACAGGCCCAGTGCCTAAGAGAGCAGGCGCGGGCAAAGACAAGTTTGGATGGAAAGGTGTGATCACAGAGCACTGTCCAGACATGAGAATTCTTCAGGCCGGTGACACTTTTCGCTGCCAGCCACCCGAGCTTTTGGTGAGAGCACGTGCCAATGTGGCTGGGCAGGGAGAGGGTAGGCCAGACCGTTTCATGAGCCTATTAGTTGAGGATCTCTCCAAAAAGTCCTTTCTCTCTCCCCTGTAAGAGGCAACTTCCTCACACTCACTGGGTTGTTTCATGGTCAGAAGGTGGGACGCTCCCTGCATCCCTTCAGTGGTCCTTGTCCATAAACGCAGGGAGACAGATGTGGCTGTTTCAGGATGAAAGACAGGTCAACAGCAGAAGCTGGAGGACCGGCCACAGAAACCTGTGAAACCACATCTCATGAGCTAAATTCTCTCCTCCCTCACCGTACATATTATACTTTAATTTTAAGAAAACTGACCGCGTGCGGGACTACTTCAGCAATCATGACTGAGGCCTGTCTGTGTCCACGCACTCGCCGTCCGCATTACCCAGTGGGCTGCACTCACTTCCTAGGAGGGAGCCGCCGCCTTGACTGTGGCCCCCCCGCACCCCAGGGGAGGCCTCCCTGGTGGACCACATTTGGAAAAGATCACTGAGCAAACTCGTACTTGCCAAAGCATGTTTCGACATGTAACACATTTCTACTGGTACAAAAGCTGATGTTCAGCATCACATGCCAAATGCATGGTCCCTCTCCTCTGAAATATAAAATTATGGTGCAGACTTTTTGCAGAGCCTCTGTACTGGGGGAACTGGGGACCAAACTGGATTGCACACCCTTGTTCAATTTTCCAGCTCCTAAGCTGTGAAGACACCTTGCCCTCTGCCCCCACCCCACCTGGCATGGCTGAGGTGAACCAGGGCCCTGCAGGACGAGAGAGAGGCTCCGCAGGGGGCTCCTCCTTCCTTCCTCCCACTCCTTTGTCCCGAAGGGCGGACTCCATCACACAAAAACCGCACTGGAGACACAGGAGGCCCACACGACTGGCACCCAACTCACTTTATACGCTGGGAGATGCCGGAGGGCTCCCACATCGCCCGATCTGCCCCCCCCCCCCCAGGAGCCTCGGGGTAAACCCAGATCTTCCTGGAAGTAAGGGGAACGAGCGCGTCTGGGCGGTTTCCTGTTTCATCTCCAAAGTCGTTTTGCAACAAATGTCGCCTCATCAGTCACGTTCTTCTTCCCACCCTAAGCTTGTGATGACTTACTTACACTGAATATTTGCCCGAAGGGAGAGTGTGTCGTCGAGGAAAACACGGGGGTGAGAAAGGCGCTGCCGTCAGAGGGGCAGAGAGGCAGAGAGGAGAGCACCCCACCCCCCTGCCCGCCGCAGGCGCCCGCGGTCCAGCTCGGTGCCACGGCCAGAGCCAATGTCGAGGTTCCATCTGAACTCCTTTGCCAGATGCTGTACTGCTGGTCGTGTTTCTCCCATACCCAAGCTGACCATGGGGTCTTAAGAAGACCCCTTTTGCCATTTCCATCCAGCTACCCAAGTGACACTCCCGGTGCGCTGGACAGAAATGGCATTTTCTGGGGCTGAGGAGCACTGAGCCACTGGTCACGTCAGAGTTCCCCTCGGCCGGGCGCGTGGGCACTCCACATTGGGAACCCAGCGGGCCTGTGTGAGGAGAAACATAAAAAGCCATTCCACCCCAAATCTGTTTTTCCAACTCGCAAGAGTAACACAATAATCACAAATAATGCTGGTTGGTGAAAGAAAACCCTTTCATCTCCCCGGAATACAGAACGAGAAAACTAGACTGTGACTAATGTGATCAGTTTGTGCCATGAAGGACAGGGAAAAGAGAATCAAAACTATCTGTTAAACGCGCTCTCGCCTGGAGCGCCCTCCTTCCCGCCCCGTAAGGTCGCTCTGGAGGAAGTGCGAGGAGCGTCTCAGTCCGCCTTAAAGGCACTGCGATGGCTTCTCTGTGACGTCAGCTTGACCGGAGTGAACTGAAACATTGTCTAATGTGTTTGTGGCTTTAGAGCTTTTGTTATATTGTGCCTACAAAGCAAATTATGTTTACATAAAAATATAAATAAAGTATTCAGCATAGCATAACCTCGCCTGGCATGAGTTACTTCACATAAACAGTTGCTGGGAAAGCAGCACTCTCCACCCCCAGTGAAATGGAAGGAATGGGTGACTGAAAAAGGGAGAAACGAAAAGTTGGTGATAGGAGCCTCTCCAGATGAGGAACTAGGGACTGCAGAGAAAATAGAGGGTACAGATGAAACAAGCCTTTACAACGACATCCAAGTTTCCCTGAGCAAGAAAGTAAAGCCATTAACTAAACAGACTGCCCCAAACATCATCATCATCATCATCTAATAACAACAACAGCCCTGGTGGTGTAGCTCAGTGGATTAAGTGCAGGCCTGCAAACCAAAGGGTTGCTGGTTCGATTCCCAGTCAGGGCACACGCCTGGGTTGCTGGCCAGGGCCCCGGTAGGGGGGCATGTGAGAGGCAACCACACACTGATGTTTCTCTCCCTCTCTTTCTCATTCCCTTCCCTTCTCTCTAAAAATAAATAAAGTCTTTAAAAAATAACAATAATTATAATGGCATTTATAAGGCACCTACCTGCTATATGCTGTTAAAAGAGTTAAATACATGTGTACAATATCAGTTCACTGGCCTTTCCCAATAGCCCTGAGAGGCAGGGTTTATCACTAAGTCATTTTATAGGTGACAAGCCTGAAGCATAAGGGAGTTTGGCCCTTGCCCCAGATCACACAGTTAGTAAGTGGCTGGAGCCAGAATTTTCGAACCAAGCCAGAATCCACGCTCTAACTGCCATATCGTGTTCTCTTGCCTTCAATAAAGTTAAAATGTGATGCATTTCAAATGACCATCCCTTGGTCACTAGAAACTCTGTAGGGATCTTGTTTCCTCTGATTTCAAGGGTACGCCTGTCAATTTGTTTTGCTCAGTAGCACATAATATGCATATCAAGAAGTCCTTTTCCCTCCTGGCCCTCTCTGCAAGCGCTCAGTGCAGTGCTGATTTTAAAACACACAGGTCAATCACTTTTATTTTCTCGATCTAATATCCTCAAGGTTATCAAAGAAATACACAAAAGTAAATCTCCAAAGGCTAAGATTTCACAAAGGAGGAATTAGTTGATCAGGGAGGCTTTACTGTTTACCCGATTTCTCGGCAGGAAGCCAGGAAAAAAGAGTAGAGCTACTCCCATGTCAATGAAACACCACGGCCAACACACCTGAGTTTACAAAGTAGAAAAGTCAGTCGCACTGACTGCCAGTGAAACTCCTGCAAGGCCACGGCACAAGGGCTTTTTCCGTACGTCTGCATGTGATGCTCCGTGCCCCGTGCAAATCGCACGGCCTCACGTGGCCAGCGTCAGTGTGCCGCCACACCTGAACTCAGGGGGCAGCGACAGCTGGAATCTGAACTGAAACCCACCTTCACCCACAACTCTGAGAACGGGGAAGAAAGAGGTCTAGCAGCAGGAAACAAAATTCTTTTCAGCAGTGTGGTCAGGTACGCTCGTAATGGAAGCAAATCTTTCAAAAGCCATTTAGGGCACAGCAGAACGTTTTTGTAAAAGCAGAGGTTTTACAGAACCTTCAGAGGTTTTACTTCTGAAGGGCACACTGGAGGAACGGAGAGCGGTGTAGCTGGAATACACGTGTGCAGGAGTGGAGTGGTGGAGACATGCATGATGGACGTTAGTACCAGGTCTGGAGACCTCCGAATGCCCACCTGATAACCTTGGATTGCCACGGGAAGGAAGAAGGAGACACTGTACAATGGGGAGTGGAAAAGCTTGCGGTGTGGAGGCAATGACTAAGAGTAAATACAGCATTTAGTTGAAAGAGAGGGATGAGGGAAGGCTGCAGGTGGTCTGGAGTCAGGTGTCGGGTGCTGTGCCTAGTTTGGGTCCTCCGGAGTCAGACACCGATGTAAGGATTTGGACATCAGCAGTGTTGGGAGGTGATCCTGAGAAACAAGGATGTTGGAAAAGACACATAAAACAGGAAAGAGAAGGAGGCAATTCAGGGTGTGCCAATGAGCAGGCTGCCACCACAGACACGCCCACAGCTGTTCCACTTGAAAGGTGAGGAAGTGGTCTGTTTGCTCTGCTTAAAAGGCTCGGTACCTGGGAGGGGAGCAGGGGGTGTGGGCGGGGCACCTTACAGATGTGACCGGTGACTGCACTTAGCACGTTCATGGGCAGAGACCAAAAACAGTGGGACAATGCTTACCTCAGTTCTGGCTGCCTAATATTGGAAATAAAAATCTTCCCTCCTCTTTTTCTAGGATTTGCTTAATTAGAGAAGAGCTTTGCCCATCAACCACAGATGGTGAAAGTGGTTCAATAATCTCTTAACAGCCCTTATCAGTTGCCAATAGAAAGAGAAGGGACAGGGGTGAACATAAACAGGAGGAATATGTTTATTACTCTCTAAACCCCTCACCTACTATCCATAAGCGATGTAGTCCCTTCTAAGCTTGTTTAGCTGAAGAAATGGCCAAGGCTCCCAGGAGAGGTGAGGAAGCTGTCGTATTGTTCCATCCATACCCAGGCATCCTTGGTTGAGGACTCCGTCCCCGGGCATGTCGACTGACACTCCTGACATTGCCCTTGTGTGAACGGAGCACACTGCTGTCGCCAGCCAGTACCCCAGGCACAGCCACGGGAAGCCACCGGAGTGCATGGGGCAGCGAGCGAGCAGACATGGGACAAGTGTGCACAGCTCCCACTGCAGCTCTTCCAGGGAACCTACTCTTTATTCTGAAATTGAACAGGACGCTTTTGAGGCTTTCCACAAACCCTACTCCGGCCTTACTAACCAGGCCCTCCTTCCAGCTGTCTTGTTTGCCCAGATCGCCCTTCTCTTTCTGCTTTTGCTTCACAAGTGGTCTCTCGACTTAGAAGAGATGACCAAAATGCCTCTCCATCTCATTGTGAAGACTCACTTCATTGGGATCTTCCTGCCAAATCCAGGTCTTCCGTACACATGGGGCCAGAGAATCTGGGGTCCTGTGTTGCATAAAACCATGTTTGTTCCGCAAATTTGTAATGAACATTTACTGGGTGTAGGACCCTTTTCTGAGTTCTAGAAATAGAAAGAAAATAAGGTACAGACCTTTCTTCGAGAAATTTATAGTCTAAAACTATGCTGTCCAATACAAATATACAGAGTGGGGCAAACATAGGTTTCTAGTTGTTCCTACAGAAAACAATCCAATGACAGATTGTAATACAAGGATGAATTCTGCATTCTCACAGCTGTAAACCGGTGTTTGCCCCGCCTTGTATGTGCGCCACATACAAAGTTACATTTTCTTGTAGTCACATTAAAAAAGTAAAGAGAAACAAGGAAATGTAATTTTAATATTTTATTTAACCCAATATACACAGAATGCTACCACGTCAATATATAGTTAACATAACGGTTATTAATGAGATATTTTGCAGTCTACTATTTATACTAAGATTTCAGAATCTGGCACATCCAGATTTTTTACTTGCAGCACATCCCCATTTGAACTTGACACTCTGAAGTGCTCCACAGCATTTGTGACCAGTGGCGTCCGTTCTGGACATCCGGGATGAGAGGAAAGGCAGAAATGGACACCAAGACGTGCAACCTTGGCTCCAATGAGGCCAAGGGAAAGGCAGCAGGTGCACAGGCAAAACGGGGTCAATTCCATGATGCAGTGGGATGGGGAAGACGGCGAGTGTCCCTGGAGAACGTGGTGCTGGAACACAGTCCTTTAAGATGAGTGGGTGGTGCTCATGGGAGCAATGTACTTAAAACACACAGAATGAGCCCGGTACACAGTCAGCACTCACTGCTCGTCAGCTTCCTCTCCCACCCCCATTTGCCTGTGATGGGGGAATGAGATGACCAGGGAACACTCAGGAGCTTTCCTTCTTTTTGTAACAACATACAGTATATATAGGTCTCTGTATTTGTATCCAGATTTGTTATGGGAGAAAGAATAAGTTGTTATGGACTGAATGGTTTTGTCCCCACCCCACCCCCAACCTCCCCAGTCCATAGGTTAAAATCCTACCACCTACCACATAACGGCATAGGAGATGGGCCTTTGGGAGGCACGGTAATCAGGATAAGACGAGGTCACGAGGGTGGAGCCCTCATGAATGGGATTAGTGCCCCTGTAAGAGTCCTGAGAGGGAGCTTCCTCTCATTCTCCCTTGTGTGACAATGCAACACCGCTCAACAGTCTGCAGCCTCATGAGAATCTGACCATGCTGGCAGCTGATCTGGGACTTCCAGCCTCCAGACTATAAGACACAAATTTCTGTTGTTGATG